TACATGCACATATGAGCTCCAAATCGCTTCTTTAAGCCTGGCCTACGGCTAGGACTTGGCCAAAGCACAAGAACTTCCATCAGTTTTGGAGATATCCAGCTTGCAAGATTTCTGAAGCCAGACTTCCGTCAAACACGGACCTCCAAACTGCTTCCACCTGCTGTGTCCGTGGAAACCACGTGTTCATTACGGCGCCACGGAAGCTTCCCATGGCCACATCTCAGCTGGATATCCGAATCGTGGAGGTGGCGAACGGAGCGACCGGGGCGACCGGAGCGACCGGAGCGATGGAGACTTCTCTCGACCGAGGATTTCGGACCGATCGAGGTGAACAAACCACGGTTGTTGGTATGAAGGACAATGGTCGAAACCACCGGTCAATTCTCAGGTTCTGCGGAAATGCGGAATGAGTAAAAAAACTCGAACACTCGGCAGATTCGCCGATCCGGACTGGGGTGTTTTGAGGGATCCGCCCAGACGAGTGTGGGACTGCCATATTGGGCCACAAAATCGGTTGGTTTGGTCTGGGTGGTCAATTGATCGGCATATATTTTCAACATTCGGGCGGTCAATCCAGTACCTAGCAGCATAAGGCTGCATAAGGGATTTTGAGACCAGACCACCAAATTTGGTCAAGCTTGAGAGAAGGACAGGCAAGGAGAGGAAAATCTGACCGACGAGGCTTTGGTTGATGGAGCGGATTCTGGAAATGTTGAACTATATAATTCAGGTTGAGCTGATGCTAATTTCATTACAGAGGACGTGTTTTGTTGGCATTGTTTTTTGGAGAGTCTTCCGATTCCAGAGGCTCCATGTATGAACTACAATATGACTGTCTATCCTATGCGTGTTTCTATATGTATACTCAATGCATGCAGATATGCAATGTGTCTTAAGTATAATATGCCCTGCAAGTCCGAAGTGCAAGTTAAACGAGTACTTTTCGAAAAGAACAAGTTTTACGAGTACCTTTGGTTTGTCGGAACCCAAGCCCTTTTATCCAAGCGAATTCAACATCACCGCACTAACGGCACATAGAACCTGCAAAAATGCACCCAATGTTTTAATTCATGCAAATAAAACAACTGACAAAAACGTCAAACATTTATACATCCTGGTCACAATTTTCTATGATTTGCTTACATATTGCAAACATTAAGGGGACTAAGGACCTGTTACGCTCCAGTTACGCTCCTGTTACGGTTTTGGAAGATCATTTGCAGTTTTAGAAGTCTCCTGGAGGGGGTTGTTACGGAACTGTTACGCTCCTGTTACGCTAAATAGTTGCCAACAGTTCAGACCTCTTTGCTCTTAATGTCGAATACTTAGCCTCAAAGCCACCAAGAACACCTGGAATATCACTCAGAATCGCCTTTGATTCCCTTCCAAACCACCTGAAGAGATCATGAACACCATTTTTTGCTTTAACGGAACTTTATTGGGACCAAGTAAAACTAGGTTCTAACAAAGTAAATAGTGGTCATTGTCTCCAATTCTATATGAACAAGTTTAACGAGGTCATTGACTTGGAGGGATGAATTGATATTTACCTACATTAAGCCCAAAACGACCCTCAATGTAGGCAAATTGTTCAGTCCCATTCTTCTGGATGACCCTGAAAAGCTTATAATTATGTAGCTTCATTTCGCTGGTTATATTATAAGGCTATATACCAGCAGCTTCCTTACGGCTTACAGGGTCTCGAATGAAATACCCGTTTTCGTTGGACGAATCGGCAGGCACGCTTGGTGCGAATCTTCGACAGTTTAAAGCCCAACCAGGCCCAGCGAGCGCGCGAGAACGCGCGCGAATCTTCTCACCGCGATTTGGATTGTCTCCCTCCCTGATTTCATCATAAACACCTACCAGGATCATTGACTGGGTGTCCAATAGACTACCCTACCCTACTTATAGGGCACCCTACTTCTCAAGTGCTATTTAAACCTCGTTAGGGGGATTGTGCCATCTCTTCAGACCACTGATCCCTAGGGCTCCTGGCCCATCTCAGAAGGTGGTTAGCCCCCCAAAACCCACCCCAACCACCGAACCTCAGGAGGGCCAGGAGCCCCAAACGGGTAGATTCCCAACCAGCACCCACCCCTGGCCCCGAACCGGTGGGCCCGGAGCTCACCTCGTTTCACCTCGTCGGCACCGAGAACGACGCGTGAACTCACCCGTTGCGTGAACTGGTTTAGGGTTTAGGGTGGAACCCCCCTGGCGGTCCGGTCACGAAAGACGTGAAGACAGACCCATCCATCGTTTTGGTTTTGAGATACCTCCATGGACATACAAATGCTTACCTCCATGGACGGGGTAAACATGGGTAGATAAATGCATGCAACTATTGCATACATGGAGGGTTTGGGTTTGGGAACAGGTGTTTCTACAAACAAACACTCGTTGGCATATTGGCAAAACCATTTGTTTGTTGGTTGTTTGGGTTGCCAGCTTTGCGTTGTGGATGTGTGAGAAGAACCGCTGGGTTGGAGCAACCTGGGATCTCAAAGAAAGTACCTCAGATCATGGGTGCTTATAAGTGATGTTTTATTTTTTAGTGGGGTTATGGCTCATTTGCCAAGGTACTTGAAGTTGGGTCCAGGTGCAGGGAGTTCCCTTTTGCCAGTATATAGCAAAAGGATCGCAACTTCAACTGCAAGCAATTGCCAGTCTTTGGTGATTGCATTATGATCCAAAAAGCATCCTGGATATCCAGAAGACTCCAGTCCAGGTTGGTGCTTCTGCTTAAGGCCTGGATATGTAACGATCAATCGAATTAGATGAACCTTCGAGGCCTTCGAGTCACCAGCTAAAGAGTCACTTGACTCTGGGCTCAGGGCAGAGTACTCTGGATGGATGGCAAGTGGATGGAAGCGCGCCATTTTTGCCACTGAGTACTCTGGGCCTGGAAGCTGAAGCAAAGCTACAACTTTAGTCCTCCTTCCCCTGGCACGTGCGTTCCACCTTCTTCACCCGGTCCCTTTTTCTTCAAAACTGAAGGATGTCTTTGTGCAGCTGGTGCCCCTCTCAGTGGGTCTTGTTGGGAAGGGAGGGAAGGGAGGTAGAAGGGCGGGCACAACACTGTATGACAGTCATCGGATCTTCTTTGGCCGCCTTGGCCAAGCTTTCAACATGTCTAAAAAGATACTAGAAAAGGCTTTTTGGATGGCGAACTTCAACAAAAGGCACGTGAGCGAGATGTTCCTCCGCTTTCAATGGTCTAAAAAAGAGACATGTGGGGTATGTGACACAAGACTCAAAGACTTCTTGGATCAACACTTTGTTGGGGTGGAACACGTGGCCACAACTTCCCGTGTTGTAGCTCTAATATACTGCAGTGCTGCCTTCGAGCTGCCGATTGGAACAGATGATCACCAGTTTGCTCCTCTTTGGGGTTTACACTCCCTGGAATCATCACGCAAGTGTAAGTGTCGCAATATCCAACCGTTTGGTCACTATAAAGGGGCCTTCAGAGAGTATTGAGTATTGCTAGCCGGACGACGTGGAGATTCTTGAGGGCCCAGCTGGTGGTGCCGACGTGCCGACGGCCGGAGTTGGAGTGGTAGGGAGCAGTCCGCGTTGGATTCAAACGCGGAGCCCTAAACTCTGGTAGGTTGACCATGTCCTAGTAGTCTATTCTGTTATATTCTGTTCATGCTTTTGTGGTCAAGGGTTCCGGGAAAATGGCCCAACCACAGGTGTCATCACCCCAAGCTTTGGTCGTGGGATTGCAGTTCAGGTGGATTGATTCTGAACTCCACATGCGACGGTCACATTTGTCCTGGCTGGCTGCTCCGGAAAAATATGGAAAAAATATACAAGCTCCAAACATGGCTGCATGGCGGTTCCCCCATTGGTGGCATGGCGACCCAAGCAGAAGAGCTAAGGGGAACACCCCATTATCATCCTAGGGGATGATCGAACCCTTTGACTCATATGTTTCGTTGGAGAGTTGAAGCCACCAAGCCACCAAGTCTCTTCGTTTTCTTCGTCCCAGAGACCGAAACGAGACCTCCGGGCCGAGACCCCATGATCTTCAATTCGCCAACATCCCACCCTGTGGATCCACATACCGAACCTCAGAAGGCGTCCTTGGACCCTCCGAGCCTATACATCAATAGTCTCCGTCCTCACCTACTTCTCAGGTTCGGTGGGAGTGGATCCATAGGGCCAACAGCTTGGAATGAGGACACCCTTAGACACCTCCATGGCGAACGGCCCCCTCCCAAAATCGCCTCGACCTCGCCACATCCCTCGCAACAGACCGCCGGATCGAGACTCGGCTCAGCGCCGGATCGTGTGTGGTCCTTGAGGACATCGAAGGGTGAATTCATCGGCTAGGCTTGGTTTTAAGGGATTCCTCAAGAAAAATCACTCATATGTGTCTAATTGTTTGTTAAATAATAACATACTCCTGGGACTCCAAGACTATGAAGACCACCCTTTAAGACTAGGGACAAGTCCAGTCCACTGCGGTCAGGTCCTCCTTTTTTCATGAAATTGAAAGACCCAGGGGGGGTCCAAGACGATTTTGGACCCTGGGAGTCCAAGACCAAGTGATCCGAGTCTGGAATTTCCTGAAACCGGTGCCCGGTGCCCGGTGGTGCGCGCCGGTTTCAGGAACTTCGGACAGACATGAGCATCGACTCCGGCAGGTTTTCTTTTGGGGGAAGAACTTACTAGTAGCTTCTTGTTACTAGTAGTATTGGCCTCCAACCTAATAGCCATGGCCTCCACCTAATAGCGTCCTTGTATTAGTATCCAACAATAGCATCTTCGAGGCGTCAGACAGGACACCAGCCTTTTGGCCATGCCACACTGAGACAGCCAGACTGTACTGGATGTTTTACGTACGGCTGATGTGTTCAGGTTTTGTTTGTGTTTCCCCCAAGCGAGGAGAAGCTATTCCATACACCCCATGTCCATTGGAGCCTTCCAACGCTAAGCCCCTACCGGGGCCCCTACCCTTTACCCATCCACAAACCTCACCGCAACCCCACTGACTTCCCCACTTGGAGCGCCCCGTGCGCCGATCGGCCTGGAACCCTGTGCTGGCGCCATGGCGCCCAAGGCGGCCAAGGCTAAGGCGGCCAAGGCCGGTGCGAAGGCAGGCGCCAAGGCGGCAGCCAAAGTGGCGGCCTCGCCACCTCCTGCGCCCCCGCTGGAGAAAGGGTTGTGAAGGAGGTGAAGCGGAAAAGTTCCTTCCCGGGAAAGGTGGATCACCTGCAAATCCTTTTGGATCCTTTTTGAGTGAGTGATATTTCACCACTAAACAAAGAAGTGTAAAGGTGGAAAAAGGTTCCCGACTTTTCCAAGGGAAACTGAAGGAGCCAGAAACTCAACTAAGAATCTGGAGCCACCGTTGGAAAGCAAAACCCTTCAGCTCTTGGAAGAGATTCATTGTTCACTCTTCAGGAATCCTGCGCCACGGCGAGCCCTGGCTCTAAGTATCTCCCTCCGAACCAGGTGTTGAGAGGTGGCTGGGGTGAGTGGCTGACATGTGGACAAAAATGGCCGCTATTTGTCATATGATACTGTACTGAAAGTAAATGGATGAGGTTGGATGACTTGAAGTGACTTTGTCACTGAAGCTTGTGAATTGCAGGAGAAGCTGTCGGTCTTCGATGCAGAGACCAATTTGAATTTCATTGAAGATGAGGTGCTTCTTCGCCATGTTTTGTTCCTGAGCTGTGTGTGGTGTGGGGTCGCAATTTGATCAGATGCTCAGAATTATTGTATCTTTAAGTCACATCCTCATATCCATTTGGAGTTCAACTGCCATCGAACAGCGAAAACGACCAAACGTGCCTGTGAGAACCCTTGAAAAAGAAGATGCCTTCCTTCCTATGTCTCCGCTTTGGAGACGTTCCAGGATTGGGCTGCCCTTGCTTCTGCAGAGGAGGGCTCAACGCAGCTAACGGTGATGAAGGCAGTGTTGCTGCTTTTAGGCTCGAGCTGGGCTTTTCGGCGGAACTGGTCGCTGTGCGCTTCGCACATTTGTGCGCGGGCGCTGGGAACTGGTGGGATTTTGAGTGAAACATGACATGCGTGGCACCACGCAAAGGGTCGCTTGAGAGACCTTTATAGACCCCCCGCCGTGACCAATATGCTTTCCTTCATGTTCCTTCTAACCACCCCAACTGGCGGACGTTCCGCCTCTCAGCCGCTGGAAGGCCCTTCCACCAGCGTTCGAAAGCCATTCAACGGCCGAGAATCGCAGGTGAGGAGACTTGGCGTCCAGAGATCGCGCGGGAGGCGCTGGAGAAGCCGGATCAGCTGCTGAAGGAGATCAAAGCCTTAGGGCCATTGGGCGCCAGTGACTTGGAAGAATGTCCACTCCGCTTCCATGATTGTTTCAGGGAGTGCAGATAGAAATTGAAGAGATGAGGAGCTCCATGTCGTTTTGTTGTAGTCACTGAGCTTAAGTGAGGGGATCTTAGCGTTGGCCACCCCTATGCGCACTGCTGGTCTTTGCTGGTCATATTTGGTCATCATTTTTGAAAGAACTATTTTGTACTATTTTGTGCACCTGGAGTCCTGGAGTCTCCAAGTACATTGGAATGGGTGCAAGCACCTGTTATTATAGGAGATTATAGGAGTAATGTCTGATTTTATTTAATTTTGTTTAATTTTATTACTAAGGTGCTTTATAGGGTCCAAGTACATATCTAGTTGGTCCTCCTGAAATCCAATACCTTTTGTTTATCAATTCGGTTGATGGTTGATGGTTAAGGCTGTATTCAGCTGAATTCCCTCAGCTGGGGAGCATGGATGTTTTTTGTCCCGTATTAAACCAGCCGGATCGAAGCTGACCCTCCTCACATGGAGTGCACCTTGCGGATTTTTGTTGAACATGGAAGTGACGCGACGGTTTTGACTTGGGTTGCCCTATCGAGGACCCATATGTGAAGGGTCAGTGTATTGACAGTCCCAACTCTCAACGCGACGCATGAGGCCTGGGCTAGCACATAGCACACGACGAAATAGCACTGCACAGACGCATGTCACGCCTGTTGGAGTCTGATGGTGCCCCCCCTGGTGCGCCGAGGCGAGGCCAACCTCAAACAGGCCGCCTCTGGCCTGGAAGCGTGTGACCTGGGAGCTCTCGCGGCCAAGGCGAAAGCTGCTCCTGGCGCTCCAGCTGCGGTGGCTTTAGCACAGTGCCTGACCGCACGGGCCTGTTGGGCTGGTGGAAGGGGTCGAAGGAGGATCCATTCCAATCAATATAATTACTATTTCTATAGCAATAAATAACAATAGATATTCTTATAACCCCACAGTAGGGTCAAAAAAACAGAAAAACTTGGTCCTCTTCCTCAGTGTTTTTGCATGACCAGCGACCAGATCCAGATCCAATGAGCGGTTGGCGATTGTTTGCCGCTCAAAGTCCCCAGTTTTCGGATGAGACATGGGTCATGACAATCCCATGTAAAAACAAAACGCGGGTAAAACGAGAGGGTCTGGGGGCAAGGGTTTATTCAGAATAGTTCATAATAATCAACACCTCATTGATACTTACTAATTACATCATTTACCAAAGTTTCATCATACTCTTCATGTGTTTCATCACCATTCATCTTGCCTCATGAGCTTTATATGCACAATTTCACAATTTCACAGTATTCCATCATTCCATCATTCCATCATTCCATCATCATCATCATCATCATCATCATCATCATCATCATCATCATCGTCATCGTCATCGTCATCGTCATCGTCACCGTCACCGTCACCGTCACCGTCACCGTCACCATCACCATCATCATGGGTAATCCCTTGTATTTCTTTCGGTGTTTATCTTGAACACTTTTTTCTCTGGTAGCCTTTATTCCTCGTTTTTCGTATTGGGTTTAGGTTGTATCATGTCAAAACTCCCACGTTTGCCTTGTTCACAGGGTTTCGTGTTTCTTGTCATGCCATTACTCTTGGTTCATCCTTTATTCTACATGTCTCTTTATCAAAGGTATCATGCTTCAGGCATATCAGACTCGTTCCAATTTTGCCCTTGGCCCTGCTTGGTCTTCCCCAACGTGCTCTTCATCCCTTCGCTTCCTTCTTTTGTCGGGAGACTCAGCAGCTTGGATGGTTGCTTGGACGTGAATCTAGGCCCAGGCTCTTGTTCTAGGCATTAGGTCAGCATCGGCATCGGTCTTTTCAGAACTCTTCTTGGATGCACAGAGAAGCATAAAGATTGGAGTTCCTTCAAAACGTTTCAAAACTCTGGCCACGTCTTTTGAAGGGCCTGGCAAGCATTGCAATCTGCCTGTTTGTGAGCATTTGGATCTAGTCCTTGGGTGCCGAGGAGTTTACGGCTCAAGAGTTGACCGTGTTTACGGCTTGCTCCCTTACCCATCTTACCATCCTTTACCCATCCCTTCGACCTCCAAGGGATGGGTTCGTCGAGCACATTTAGCAAGCATGATGCAGACGGAGATGCCAGGATTGTGGAGGTTCAATGGCGTCAAAAAGGCTTGTGGGGAACGCCGGAACGCGTCCCACTCGTTCCTACGCATCAAGTTCGACGATGGGTCATGGTGGGTTTGTGACTACGGCAAAGGCAAAGGTGGCTTTGAAGAGAACTCTTCAGCAGAGGGCTGGATCTTTGATAGCGCAAAAGGTGGTGACCTATACACGGCTACTGTACCATGAAAGGCTTGAAAGGAATCAGGGAGAGCATTCTTAAGGACATGGGGGATTACAACCTCATCAGCCGAAACTGCCACACCTTTGCAAGAAGGGTATGGAACTCAATTACAATGCCACAGAAGCACACTACGTGGGAGCTGGACATCGTGAAGAGAAGCGTTGCGGCTGGAGCGAGCTTCGGCACAGCTTGGTTGGCAGCTGACTTCGGTGGTTACGCGTCGCAGTAGGATGAGCCAAATATGCAGAGCACCGCCCGATGCAGTGCAGAGGCGCTTTTTTGATCTATGACGATCTCACGATCAGAGCGATGCTCATTCAGCATCTGCACATGTGAGACAGTCGCATGAGATAAAAAAGCATACAAAGCTGCAAAGTGTTTGTGACAACGCTGTTGTGTCAGTCAGAACTTTCTAGTACTACATTGTTTTTGCTTATCTTTTGAACATGCGTTGAACATGGCTTTCAGCTTGATGATGCAACTAGAGTATTCAGCAAGTGCAGTTGCCAAACATTCATTCCAATCATGTCAACCACATTGCATGGAATCGGTAGCCATGCATTGGAAATGACAGACGCTGACACGCAAGAAGTGCTGCATATTTGTGTCATCGACTTCATCGGCTCACCTGAGGTTAGGAAGTCAACATTGAAGATGGAGACAAGAAGGTGGTTCAAGAAGGTAAGCCGCAGATAATCTAGTCCTAAACTATCGCTGAATCAACATGGTTGTGGATCAAACTTATTGTTGTTGCATGCTAGTGTACTATAGACATGGTCTCACTCGCTACTATTTGGCTCAAGGAAAACAGGTGCGGTTAGCTGGTACTTGTAGGTCGTTTACCTATGTAAATAGGGCCTGTAGGGATCATGTCGCAGCCACGCCGGTGGCCACGGTTGGCCAAGATCTGAACTTTTGGGCAGGGGTATTTGTTGATGTGGGATGGTCCATTCTCGCGGCCTCATGGAAGTATAGACTGGGTGACATGCGGATTGCCACTCAAAGGGCATCCCAAAACATCCGTGTGCTGAGACTCCAAGAGCAAACCAATCCCAAGGTTGATATTATAGGGCCTAATAGGGATTCTCTATCAACTGTTGTGGGATTTGAGGGACAATGAGGACTGAAGGAGGTGGGAAGAAGGCCCCAGTTTGATATACCCCCTCCTTGCGCCTCCGGAAGCCGGATTGAATCTTCGGCCCCTGCAGTGTTCAGCCCCGTGGACAGGCTCCTAACCTCCACGCCATGGTGGGTTCAGTGCGCACAGTGAACTCACCCCATGTTCAAGGCTCGTGGAGGCCTATGCTGCGGAGCGCAGTGGCACCGCACGCACGAGGCAGCGCTTCGCCATGGGCATTGAAACGGTGGCTTTTCAACAATTGCATCGCACCATGGCAACAATGGGCGACCCACCGGCCGACCCGTCAATTGGACGACCCGGGGGAGGGATGGTGCGGCGCAAGATCCGGAACGCATGGGTTTGGTGGTGCAAGTCTCGGTTTCTGCTGGCACCGTGATAACAAGACCAGGACCCAGCTACAACGATGCTAAAACAAGCTGAAACCGTCGCTCGTACCATCGCTCGCTGTCGCTCCCTCAGGCAACCTACAGCAGGCCCTACATGCTCGACAACACGTGTCCTGGCTTTGAAGCCACCTGCCGCGACTGGGTTTGACCCGGTCGTAGGAGGTGAGGGCCTGGCGATGAGATGCCGCACCGAATGCGACACCGCTCGGAGCCATGTCCGATGTGAGGTTTGGAGGGTCAAAATGCACCTGAGGAGGCGTGCGAATCGAGTCCTTTTCGGGGTGAGACAAGTGGTGAGAATAGGATTCCGCATGTCAAGAAGAATCAGGGCATGGGGGTTTGACTATATGGTTCAGGATCTATTGTTTCGTGGTAGAGGCAAAGCGTTTGAATATTAAAGGAATGCAATATATGTGCGTACTTATATATTATGTGGTAGTAGGAGTAGTGAAATATGGTTCGATTCAAGAACGCCTACAGTAAAACATCGATTTCAAGATGTTGATCTTCTAGATGTGCATGCGCAAGTTGGTCACATAATATACCACGTTGCATCCTCCCTCAGACATCATGAGCAGCACCCTCCATTCCAGCGGTGCCTTCGGCCTATCATTCTCTCCTGCGGTTCAGCCCTTTGACCCTGCTGGTTTCCTCGGCCGCGCCTGGAGGTGTGTTTGGTTTGCAGCTGCCCTGCGGCCACCGCTGCAGCCCAGCTCTATTGCAAGCTGGCCACTTGAAGTTTGAGGTCCTGTACAGCACCGCGTAACAAACAGAACTCGGACTTTGGGATGAAAAATGACTAAGACATGCCCCAACTTGGAGCATGCAGCATGATGCGTTATGAACATATTCTTAACATAGCCTGGCCTGTACTTACATTTTGGGGTAAGTAGCGATGCCCTTTGCTACTTGTACTAGCGAACCTTGCTCCTAGTAGTACGGCCAGGAGCCCCATTCGTAGCGATGCCCTTTGCTCCTAGTATGCAGAACATCCAGGTGCAAAGTCGTCCAAGACGGGTGCAACATGACTCACACTTCCCGTCATAGCACAAGATGTGAGCCTCCCTTGGATATCCTGGTGCCCATGTTTTTGGTGTTTGTTGCTCCAGCCATTGGGTGGGTCTTTTGTCTTCTGAGTATAGAATGCCATTGGCCTTGCTCCACCAGGATTCCCGTACACATCGGCACAGGAATCCTGCTTGGATTAGCGAGCGGCATTTCTGGCATTTCGCAAGGCTTTCTGGAACGGAACATGGCGTACACTGCTCTGCCATGGCGTACCATGGAAGTGGTTTCCACCACGACGGCCAGTTTGTAGAGGAAGATGGCTATCCAACCGGCCATTGATTCTTTCAGGGAGTGCAGGTGTATTATTGGGTGGCCAGGTCAAAGAAAGTGCACGAGGCATGCACGCCCTTTTCTGCAACATGTTGCCCTGAAGCGGTGCTTGAGAAAGCGGGTTCAAGAATTACAGTGGTTTCAGAGTATATATAGAGGGCACAATCCTCAAGTTGGGTGGTTTATATGGAACCCCACTCAAGGATATCTTGGGGTTTGCGCCATCTAGTCTGAAACCACTGAAAAGTTTTGTTGGATCGTTGACTTAAAGAACAGCTCTCGGCCAGCTCTGTGAGCTGAGGCCGGCTGCAGCTTCTTCAACCTTCAAGAGCTGCAGGTTCAGATCAACCTTTCCAAGTCGATGAGCCGTGTCGAATGGTTTGGACCAAATGGTGTGCTAACTGACTGCCCACCTTTGAAACCCTAGATATCCAAGGACCTTCTCAGAAGGTACGACTGGGCCCTCCTGGCACCTACATAACAGTGTCTTCAATCACCTTGTGAGAAGGTATGACTGGATCCCTATAGGGAAAGGTATCCCTGGGCGTCCTCGTTGGTGTCACCAACCAGCTTTGGTCGCGAGGGGCCAGGATCTGCATGCCTTCTAAGTCCTGCACCAAAGCCATCAGAGAAGCCATGAGGGTCCCGGTCTCCCTGTCGTTTGCTGTTCAGATCTGAATTTCGAGGAGGCCAGGTGTAGGCCATTAGGTCCAAAGCCACTCACACCTGCGACTGGTCGACGTACAATCCTCTGTTAGTTGCTCTATGTGTATAAGATAGCAACTTGACATGTTAGACCAGCTTTTGACCACCAAAGACATCACAATGACAAGGAAACATACAGCGGTGTCATCACCAGGGTCTTAAAGAACGGTACCCACCCTGAAATCCAGACGAGACGGTTCCGTCACGAGACGCGCGTTCCGAGGAGCACGGACGAGGCACGTGGCGCTCTGAGTTCAGTGCTGAAGACCTCCATGGCTCAAGGCACGTCGTGTCGCTCGGGATGCTGCGGGCTCCCATGGCTCGGGTCGGGCTCCCGTCGGCTCCAACGAATCGCTCTTACGGGGTTTTGGTGCATCCGGTGCAATCTAGGGCAATGAATTGTTAGGTTCATCCGGTGTGGATGCGTCCGGTCGTCCGGTAGATATTGTTTACACTGGTTTCAGAGTAGATGGCACAAACCCCAAGTTGGGTGGTTTATATGGACCCCTACATCAAAGACATCTTGGGGGTTGTGTCATCTACTCTGAAACCACTGTAATCACATGTGTTTTTGAAATGGGTGTGTGTTAAGACCTCCCAGTGAAAGTCCAATGAAAACAGACCCCAACACACTCCCTAGGGGCCCCTTGCGGGGCCCCCGTGAACGCGGGGCACGGCCTGCCTTCCATGCCACGTCTCCCCCTCGCTTTGGCACACTCGTGTGATGGCAAACGGGCCTTAAACATCCACCGTTAACCAACCAGTAGTATACCACTTGTTGTTTGGATCGATGTTAAAGGAGTTGCAGAGAATTCCTGAAGGCTGCTGGACATGTGGAGAGAACTCCGAATCTATGCGAATCTCTCCAGCAACCACTATATAGAAAGGTGCTATGATGATATGCTGGAGAGATGAGTTCGACCCTGGCCCTTGTGCGTTCTGTGCGTTCGACAGGATTTCAACCGAACACATCTCAAACACAGGGATGTGATGTGTTTGTTTCGCTCGACCGGTTAGACGGGATGTACTTTGCTTTAAGCCTCCACTCTCAGAGCTGTGACTTCCCAGAGCTGTGTCTCAGACACTGGCAAAGCCAACCGTGGCCCCAGGGATTTCGGCGAAGGTTATATAGGTCCTAGATACTAGATAGCCCGTTTGGGCTCCAGGAGCCCTCCGTTTCGTTCGGTGATTAGGGTAGGTTTTAGGCCTCTAACTACCTCCTGAGGATGTGGGCCAGGAGCTCTATAGGGAAGAAACAAGCCCTTTGCAGAAGGTACGACTGGACCCTCCTGGCACCTACATAACAGTGTCTCCAATCACCTTACCTGAAAAGGTATGACTGGATCCTCTTATGCATATAGGTATAGCATCGGCTAACGTTCTAGCACCATGGTACATCATTTTTTGTCCACTATCATCGGCTAAAAACGTTTGGTCGTATACCCTAGGCCTCCAAGTACATTCTGAGAAGGTGTTTAGGTGGGTTTGGAGGGTCTAAGTACCTTCTGAGCAGGTACTTGGAGGTGTAGGGATAATAACCCTTCTCGATGCCCTTCCTCGGTGAGGCCAACGTTTGGTCCTTCAACTGGGCTCTGCCGTGCCGAACCTGCGGCACTTCTGCGACGCCACGCAGGCGCTGGAGCCGCTGAGGGGGGCTCCTATAGTTCTAAGCACAAGGGAATCCCGCACAAGCAGCTGTTTTAGCAAGGAGTTTACACTACAAAACCAAGTTAACCTTTCGTTTAATGGTCTTGAAAACTACTGGTAGGCTAATATGTACTGGTACTGAAATTTGTGTGTTTGAGTGGGGAGGACCTACTATAGACATGTGGCGAATCGGCGAACCTTTAATTAGTCCTTTTGATGGATAAGGCATGCTTCCCTTAAATACAGGTGGAAGAAGGCAAAACCCCTTACTGTATTCCTATACCCTATGATGCCCTATGAATCCAAACATGCGCTCTTTTCAGATTCTAGCGCGAAGACAGTAAATGCCAGCAAGCCCGCCAAAGACGGTAAATGGCACCGCCTCTCAAACCCACAGCTCGGAGGACTCAATTGAGTATGTGAATAGCAACATTCCTCACCAAACACGTTTTCTACTTTGGATCGTCACGGATATTATAGTTTCTGCAGAGGTTAGATATATCAATATCACGGTCACCGATGCGGAATTGAGGCCACAATGCAAGGGACATGTGGATCCGTTGTGCATCATCCACAGCAAGGATCGGGCAAGGTCACCGTCCTGGGGTCGGGGGTGAAGAGGGATCCTCACCGCCTCCCGAAGGGATCCGAAGGGGTGAACCAGTCAATCAATCCACCACCAGCACCACCCTGACTGACTGGTGGTGCTTTGTCACCTCCCCAGGCGTGGATGCATCAGGATGAAACTGAGGCGCCTCAGAAAAGTCCACAGGACTTTCTGTCCAACAGTCCCTAGGAAATTGAACTCCATTGAATACCACCCCTTGATCACTTCAAAGGGCAATCGAAAAATGCCGCATGGTGTCCAAAAGCTCAAACACAGATAAAACTGGCTTCTCTCCTGAAAGACTCGACAGCCCCTGGTCTCCCGCTGGTCCTCCTTTCTTCAGCGGGTCTTTGACAAAAGACCCGACTCGAAGCTCCTGGCGGCCACGCCACGTGAGGTGGAGGTCTTCGATTTCGAGAAGCTCCCGAGGGTCGCGGAGGCTTTGGGCTGCTTGGTGGCCGACCTGGGCGGTGAAAACCAAGCCACACCGGTGAGGTGAAGAGTCTACTCGGGGCAAAAAGGTGGGTCAGAAGTGGTGGTGGCAACGGGGATGCCATGGGTTTTGAGATGTTTACATATAGATTCTCAGGGTAGATATGCTAGAGGCTAGATATACCAATGATATCCAATGATTATATACCGGTAAAAACATCGAGCTCGAAGGGCATGTTGCGGGGTTGGGCCATGTTGAACTGAAGCACGCATGTCTTCGAAGCTTCAAATCATACTGCGTATAAAGGTGAACCGTTCTACAAAGGTCTTTCCAAATCCAGTCCAATGAACACTCATTGACACTGGTAGTATCTGCGGTAGGAAGGCACACCGGCACGCCGCGCCCCTGAGGTGTCACTTGTGAGTCGGGTTTCCAGCTGCTCCTG